TGGCTTTCCACTTGCTGAAGATTAAAACCAGACCTATATTTTTCACTATGCACTAAACTAAAATTGAAATACATCAAAGATCTAACTATTAAAACTGAAGTAATCTGCTGGAAGATGGAACAGGTAGAACTTTCAAAGACATTGTTTTAGGCAAAGAGTATGAATAAAAAACCCTCATCACACATGAGCTATCACAAAGAATTAGCAACTGGGATCTCATCTTATTAAAAAGCTTGTGTACAGCAAGGGATATCACAAAGAGAGAAAACCCACAGTATGGGAAAGAACTTTCCAGCTGTTCCTCAGACAAAGGACTACTATCTAGAATATAGAAAGAACTCAAAAAAATCATATCCCCCAAATTTAAAGATCCAATCAAAAAATGGATGGGGCATATCTAAAACGTACCAATAAATGTTTTGTTTAAAAAGAAACAAAAAAGTACAATGTTTTTAATAACTCCCTGAGAAGATACAAGAATCATGAATATACATGAGTCTAACAACAGACTCTAAAGTATACGAAGCAAAAGCTGATAGAACTGAGGTGTAAAGTAGATAGTTCAAGAATCATAGTTGAGGACTTCCTTGTGTTATGTCTGATAGGTCTGGGATGTAGGGTCTGCAGACTCACACTCAATGGGCCTTTCTCTTTCTCCAAAAGAGAAAGTCAAAAAGGGAGTCAGAGAATACCAACACAAAGGGAAAGTAATTTTATTATAGGTGTTCTGGGGGAGGAGTAGGGGTACCGAGACCTAAGTCACCATCAAATCTGAGGCAGTGATACTGTTTTATGGGTGAGGAGTTCTGTCTTCAACCTTCTGTGCATTGATATTTGATTAATTAGATATTGGGCTTGTTGCTAGGGGTTTGGTCTTCTTAGCTCATAGGAGAATTTGGGTACACAGGGCAACTTCACTAGGAGGGACAGTGTTGCCTGTACAGAGACAGGTGTCAAAACCACAACTTGTGTGGGGAGTGGAGTCACATGCCTGTAATCCCAGCACTCTGGGGGCTGAGGTAGGATAATCACTGCAAGTTCCCAAAAGCTTCACCACCAAACACTGTTACATGTGACCATTTTTTACAGATAATCCTTGAGGGACATTTCAGAGTCAAATTCTAACAGAGCCAAGACACGTCTTGTGGAAAACATCAAATGAAAATGCAATCCCTTAGTACCCTGGAAGGGGGCAGGAAAAGACATCAGTGATTATAAATAAAATGCCCTCTAAATAGTTCAAAGAGCTATGATGTAGAGCCATATTATCTTCCTAAAATAGGTAAGATTAAGCATCATTATCAAACAGGATTCAAAATTGCTCAGAAAAAAACATCCTTCACAAACTGGATTAAACATTTAGTGAATTTATTGCCTTAAAATACAACAACAATTGATAGAAAGTTTCCAGCTTTGATGAATCTTGGAGCTGTAACTTAGAATCTGTGATTTTTCTCAGCTTTAGACTTGTTCATGGCAAAGAAGGTCCTCCAAATGTCTCCATTCATAGTAATGAAATGGCTGCAGCTTTCCAAGGCTTAAATGTAGGAGTCCCATTTTCTAGGGCAAAAAATTCTACATTTGTGGAAGAAGGCTTCCAAATGATGACCATTTAGTCTATTCAGTCTAACTTCAGAGAAGCTCTACATAAGTGTTTTGGCTATATGTCAGCTACTTTACTCAACTGTGGTGGCAGCACACTCCTGGTGTCTGAGTTGAATTGTCTTTAAAAAAGACTTTAGTCTTTGTGGAAAATGAAGAGAAAATTTTCAATATAAGAAATGTATGGATGTATAATAAAAAGCCCTTAAGATTACTCTATCCCTCCTGTAAAGGAAAATATCACTGAGCCAAGAAATTCTCATAACTGGGGAGAGTTATGAGCAAAGAATGTCTTCCCATTCATTGTTGACCCTCATCCTAGTGATGATTTTGGACCACCATAATCATTAATTGTGTTGGATCTTATGTTCCAACACAAGTCTAACACATACAACTTTATGGGAATGAATTATTTTAGGACTTGAGAAAGAGACATTATAATGCCTGTCAAGACCCATGATGGGAAATACCTCCCAGCTGTGCATTAACAGGGGACAGAAATTGTTAGAAAGAGAAGTAAAATGAAAGGGATGCACATGAGCAATTCCTTCAGAATCCGGCCCCAAGTTAACTAAGCAGATTCATTTTCTTGACCTCCTTTACTATTCATATATTTTAACATTCCTCATCTACCTCCTTCTATTCAAGGGATATAAAATACTTTAATATGTACCCAAGCACACTTTGTGCAAAATGTTCAGTGATCCTCCTCCTCTTCAGAGTCAACATTGTTCTTGTCTGTATATCCATCACACTGTCTCTTTTCCAGGTAATAAACATTTATTGAAAGCAGCAGTAAGGTATGTTCACATTGATTGGAGGGAAAATAGAAAGCATAAGAAGTGAGCTGTATGATCATGTAGACTATGATAGAACAAGAATGCTACCACCTGCAGATTCCATGGCTCCTGAAATGCTGATACTTGGGAAATGATTCTAGCTGGAGCAAAATAGGATGTGAGGGAGGTCCAGAGGGCCAAAAATAAGATTTTAAGGCAAAAAGGGAAGTGATGATGCAATCACATACTTCCTCGAGCTAAGGAAGCATAGAAGGAATTACATGTTCATTGCAGAGATGATCAGAATTACAGCAGGTTATGAACAACATTTGAGTACTTGAATATTCCATTTTATCTTCAAAGTCCTCCATGCAAAATGACTATACAGTATACACATCCACTGTTACAAAAAAGAAAAACAGAAATATAACATTACTTCAATAGCTAGGATATAAAGTCCAAATCCAAGTAAGAGTATATAAAAAAAATATATATAGAATGAAAGAATATTTCTTCTACAGGAAATATGCCTGCACTGGCAGTCCTGCTACAGATTTCTAAGTCACATTTAGTAAGCTTCTATCTCCTAAAAGTCCCTACTGCAGGAGAAATAAACCCTTCGTTGCTTTGGGTTCTACATGCTGAAGCACAAATTATCTCAAGCCAATAGGCACAAATAAAACTTTCTAAAAACCTGCTGGGTTCCAGGCTCTGTAGTAAGCACCAGGGTGGTAAGTAACATTAAGTCTTCTCTTAAGCACAAAGAATTTGGGGGTGACAGGTAACTGGAATGCACCATGAAAGTTATTATGAATGGACATGGCAGGAAAAACCTGAGAATACATAAAGGATAAAGATAAAAAGGAATAAGAAAGAGGATAAAGAAAAGTTTCCAGGCTTTCTATGCACAAACAGAAGTTTGTTCAGCATCCCACAAGCAGAACAAAGGCTTCCAAATGGAGTGTGGAAAATGGCATATTTAGCCTTTGGTCACAAACACAAAGAGGATAGAGCTCAGAAGACAGATCAGCACAAAAGTAGGAAATGGCCCAGTCCACTCCATATCTCCTTAATTTTAGAATTCTGTCATAAAGTTAACCTCATCACAAGACTTATAACGTCACATCTGGACCTAAGTTGACTCTTCACCTGCGCACCATATATTCAAGGAAGGTGGTTTGAACATGGAAGAAAAGAAGATCTTCATATCACCAGATCATCAAAATACTTACTAGATCGATTAATGATTGTACGAATCCCACAAAATCCAGTGTCATTTGTACTGCATGTCTCCATTTCATGATCACAGGTCTGCTTTGTGTAGGAACGACATTGTCTACACAGGAGGTCCAGGGATGCTAGAAGAAAGAGTGTGTTGAGAGAAGGATCAGTGTCATATCTCAAAGAAAGTAGAGATCATATAATCTCCATGAGATGTTGTCTTCACCAAGGTTTTGCCATTAAAATGGAATATATTTTAATACCACAGAAGATAATATGTTTTAATACATTCACTGAGGAGGAGGAAATAGAGAGATAATATATCCCTAAAGTACACAGTTGGCCAACATATCATGGTAATTCTGTATAGGAATGAAGAGCTCATATCATTTCTTAAGTTTTTCAGACCCTGGACTGTATGTCCAGTGCTATGATCAGATTTAGCAGTCTTTGGCTGATTAGGAGACCCTGAATCCTCAACCACAGTTAAGAAAGAACATAAAGCAAAGAAGTCATACCAGGTCTCCAGTGAAGGACAGGGTGTTGACATAATCTAGGAAATCAAGAAGATGGTAGAGGTCAGAGGGCCATGACAAAACCTCTCTACAGGTAAAAGTGGGCTTATTCCTCAAAATCCTGTTAGATAGAGCTCATATAACCAAAAGGAATAGAGAAAAACAAGTTATCCTTAAATATTTGACATCATCCAAGGAATTACCAATTTCTATGCAGAGGAGGAAGAGATTCAGCTTCAGTACTTTATCCATTTGGTCTGAACTGATTCTTCAAACACGTTGTGTTAGAGACGAAGGAGCAGTTAGAACAAATGATGGTGTGACACTGACTCACTGACTGCTAATGTTTGTACTGTGGGGAAACTGAAACTCTCACCTAACAATAGTATGCAGAAAACTAGAAGTGGTTAACAAGGAGCTGATCTATCAACTTAATGAAGCCACATTCCAGCCCAAAGTGCATGTGAATACCTTTTGACCTTAGGAATCGTAAAATATTATGGTGTCTAAACATTTTCTTGTGATGTCTTTCTGCAGATGTTTCTTGTGTATCTACACAAGATAATGTGCTAATAATGTGTGTATAAAGAACCAGGTTTGCCTCAATTAAAGCAGACAGTCTTTTGTCTCCACTCTGCCTAGAGTGTCTTTCCTTTTCAATCCTCACTCTCTCCTTCAGGTACTGTTCGACTAGTGGGGGCTGGTCCCCCACAAGTGGCGCCCAAACAGGGACCTGAATACGAGAGGCACAGTGAAGGACACCGCTGGATAAAGAAGAAAAAGGAGATCTCAACAAAAAGGCCTTCAAAAGGACAAAAGAGGAGCGGTGAGTTTTCTTTAAAAAATAAAATAAATAAATAAATAAATAAAAACAAGAAATTAAAAAAAATGGGAATAGGAAATAGCCGTATGTTGTTTATGCATATGTTAAAGAACCTTTTAAAGGCAAGAGGTAAAAAAGTTGAACAGCAGCAGCTTGTAAAATTTTTTAAACATGTGAAGGATATTTGCCCATGGTTCCCTGAAGAAGGATCCATAAATGTGGAAGCATGGGATAGAGTAGGGTGCTGTTTAAAAGAATATTATTTAAAAGAAGGGAAAAAGGTGGTTCCCGCTGAGATATCTAGTTTTTGGTCGCTTATTAAAGAAAGTTTAAATCCAAAATCTATGCTTACAGAAGAGGAAGATAAAGGAGGAGGGTTTAATTCCCCCTGGTATTAAGGAATTAAGAGAACAATTTAAAAAACAAACTTTAGAGAAAATGATTCAAGAATATCCTAGACATTTTTAGAATCCATTTGTTGCTATGAATGAAAAATCTGTAGAGCACGGTAAAAATAAAATTAAAGCTAAGCTTGTTCCAGAAAAGGTAGAATTTGCTGCTTCACCTGGGATGGAGCCATCTGACCTTCAGGGACTTTTTCAACCAAAATCCTGTAATGGTTGGCGTCCCCTTTGTGTAAATTCCCAGCCTTTTCTTTCCCCATTACAGCAGAGCCTTAAACAAGCTTCTATCAATGGGGAGGATTTGTCTGATTTTCTTCATTTGTTTCCTGTTTTTGAGGGAATGGATGGACAAGGAAATATGGTACGAACTCATAATCCGGTTCCTTTTAAACAATTAAAAGAATTAAAAATGGCATATGCTCAGTATAGCCCTATTGCTCCGTTCACTCAAGCCTTGCTAGATTCTTTGTCCACTGATGCTCTCCCTCCATTTGACTGGAAACAAATTGCTAAAGCTTGTCTTTCTGGGGGTGATTATTTGCTATGGAAATCTGAATATACAGAACAATGCCAGAGAATAGCAAATCTTAATAGACAACAAGGAGAACTTTATGCAATTTATGAGATGCTAGCAGGAGAGGGACCTTATGCTGAGGTTACTCAGCAATTAGGTTTTCCCCCAGGTGTGTATGCTCAGGTTAATACTGCCGCTAAAAATGCTTGGAAAAAACTTCCTTCATCTGGACGAGCCTCAGAAGATCTTTCTAAAATTAGACAGGGACCTGATGAGCCTTTTCAAAATTTTGTGGATCGCTTGTTACAAACTGCCAGCAGAGTCATAGGAGAATCTGAAGCTGGTATAGTTTTAGTAAAACAATTGGTTTATGAAAATGCTAATTCTGCCTGCCAAGCTGCCCTTCATCCTTTTAGAAAGAAGGCTGATTTATCTGATTATGTTCGTTTGTGTGCTGATATTGGCCCCTCTTACACCCAGGGTCTTGCCATGGCTGCGGCTTTACAGGGAAAGACCATCAAAGAGGTCTTATTTCAGCAACACAGAAGTCCTCAGAAAAAGGGAAATAATAGGAATTGTTTTGGTTGTGGTCAAGCAGGACATTTGATAAAAAATTGCCCTCAACGAAAAGAAGGTGGGCTTTCTTCCAAGCAGCCTGGTTTATGCCCTAGATGTAAAAGAGGATATCATTGGGCTAATGAATGTAAATCTAAAAAAGATGCCATGGGGAATTTTATTCCGTGGGGAAACGACGGTGGGGCCTGCCCCAGGCCCCGTATCAAACTTTTGGGGCTTTTCAGAATCTGATCCCTCAAAATCAGTCAAAAAATCAATTCAGGACTTATTCTGAGCCACCTCAGGCAGCGCAGGATTGGACCTCAGTTCCTCCTCCTATGCAGTATTAACCCCTGAAATGGGAATGGAAGCCCTACCCACTGGAGTTTTTGGGCCACTACCTAAAGATACTTTGGGTCTCTTGTTAGGTAGGAGTTCCTCTACTATGAAAGGGCTTATGATTTCCCCAGGAATTATTGATGAGGACTATACTGGAGAAATTAAAATTATGGTTTGTTCACCTTCTCAAATTTCTGTTATTCAGCCTGGACAGCGTATAGCTCAATTGATTATTTTACCCAGAGTAGTCACTTCAGGAAGATATAAAAAAGCCATTAGAGGGAATAAAGGTTTTGGGTCCTCAGATGTTTATTGGGTGCAGTCTATTGGAGCTAATAGGCCAGAAATAAAATTGTTAATTCAAGGAAAATCTTTTATTGGGTTATTAGATACTGGTGCTGATCTCTCTGTTATAACTGCTGACCAGTGGCCTTGCACATGGTCTTTGCAGGAGACTGTCTCTCAATTACAAGGCATTGGTCAAAGTAAAAATCATAAACAAAGTACTGATATGCTAAATTGGAGTGATTTTGAAGGACACTGTGGGACTTTTCAGCCTTACGTTATTCCTGGCCTCCCGGTTAATTTATGGGGAAAAGATGTCATGCAACAGATGGGAGTTTATTTGTATAGCCCTAATCAAAAGGTTTCTAATCAAATGTTTGATCAAGGATTCTTGCCTAATGTTGGTTTAGGAAAGGAAGGTCAAGGAATTCAATCTCCTGTGACTCCGACAGCCCATCCTCCTAGACAAGGCCTGGGGTATTTTCCCTAGGGGTCATTGACATTCCTGCACCCCATGCAGATCCAATTGTCTGGAAAGATGAAAAACCTGTTTGGGTTGATTAATGGCCTTTAACTAGTGAGAAATTAACAGCTGCCGGACAGTTAGGAAAAATTTCAATGGGAGTCTCCTTTTTCATATTTGGGATATCAACTTTATCCTCGAAAAATAATTACCCAAAAGTTACAGATTTGAAAAGATAATTTGAAAACTTTGAATGATTTTCAAAAATTGTTGGGAGATATTAATTAGATAAGGCCTTATTTAAAATTAACTACCAGAGAATTAAAACTTTTATTTGATATCTTGCAAGAGGATTCCCCGACAGAGTCCCTGGTTCTTTCAGTTTGTTTGTCTTACATTCTGTTTGGGCCTCTTTTGTTCTCGTTTGTCTGTTCACTTATCTCTAATTTTCTGACAGGATGAAAAGAAGTTCATCTACCTCCCTAACTCTAATTTTAGATCATTTCCAAGAGGTCCATCAGACTGCAGCTGACCCTGGACTCCATATAACTAAGAAAGAGATTTCAAAACAACTCCAGTCTAGGAGTGGCTCAAAACTTCTGCTCTGTGACAATCAGCTGCTAATGAGAATGATTTAGTTTTGGTAACACTTCTTCTGCATTGCAAATTCTTAAACTGTGATTATAGGGTTAACTTGCTTTTTTCTAAAACTCAAGGTTAATACTGTTCTATTGGCAGCCAGTCAAATTTTAAAATGTAACAACCTGAAAACAGAAAAAGGATACTTTAAGCTGAAGTTTGTTATAGAAAATTAATAGTAAATGAGGCAGAAAAATATTAGGAAAGCTATAAATAAGAGTTATACTTTTGACATGAAAAGTTTTTGTGTGTTTGTCTGATTAGAAACAGGTAAAGAAAGATATACAAAACCAAAAGGCCTATGTAGAGAAGGTATGTAAAAATTATTTAATTAAAAAAAAAAAGTATCCTTGCTTGTTGGTTTCAAGTTTATTATAAAAGGCTTATATTTACAGTCAAGAACAGCTTTTATTCCTTTAACCCTAATTCTATGAGATCTCTGTTAACTTTGACCTGCAAAAGTCTTGACTAGTCATAACTAAAAGATTTTATAATTCAATTGGCCAAAACCATCTGAGTGCACTCTAGTTTAAATTGTCTTATATGTTTGTCTGTCTAAATGTTCAAAAGTGTCTGATTATATTTTTGATCAAAATGACTTCAAATATAAGTAGATTGTTGATTTCTACACCCTGGTTTTATACGTTAAGTAAAAAATTTAAAGATAATTAAATATAAACTTGTAAGCTTGGGTGCAATCCTGTTGGTAAATAAAGAAGCAGCTGCTCAGAAAATTTATTCTGATCTTTGTTCACTAATGGGAGCCACCCAAATAATTTTCATAGCATTATAAAAAGATATGCCTTGTTAAATATGTTGTTAAAATGTTTATATTGGTTATCATCAAAAGGCTGAATTCTGAATATGTTATTGTAACATGTTTATGATGGTTATCTTCAAAATATATTATTTCAAAAAAAAAAAATAAATAAAAGGGGGAAAATCCTGTTGATACAAAGCTACATTACAGGACATAAGATTTCATATAATTATAAAAAGTTATTACTGCTACTTTTCTGGTATACAAAATGTATTCACATTGTCTGACCATGCAGGTTTTCCAGTATATTGTTTCTGATAATAACCTTTTGGTCCAGGTATTCTCCCTTCTCTTCTGCTCCACCTACTTAAGGTTACAGGTACATTTATAGACCCACCACTATCCCTGAACAGCTTGAAGCTGGGTTTCCACTGAGGAGAATGGATTGGGACCCCAACACTGAAGTGAAAGAGAGAACTCCAGGATGTGTCTCGGTGCACAAGTGGGAATTTCATTCCAAAAAGCAAAATGTGACCATCTTCTATCCGAAATAAAAAGGACAAAAATGGAACTGGTGAGCCCCTGCAATCCCTTCCCCTGTGTGAGGAAGAGACAATGTTACTATACCTCAGGAAAGATTATTTAATGACACATCTCGAAAGTTTTTGGACTAATCACTTGGAAATTCCACAGACTTAAGCTTATCTGAAGGACTCTGGTGGAGAGATTCAGGTTTTCCTCAGACGAACATTTGGAAACTTGCTGCTGCATTGGGAGAAATACGTTTATGGCCAGATATCAAAGTCACTAACCTTAGTTTTGCTGTTTTTGGCAAAGGGGCCGCTAACATGCGAAATACCATAAGTACTGTGTTATCTCAAGCCAAAGGACAAAAGAAAGCTGTCTTGTCCTGTGTCGATGCCCCATATGTTCTTCTAATAGGAAATATACAGATTATGTATGAAAACGATAAGGAATATAATGTTAGTTGTTCTAATTGTATTTTATCTAACTGTGTCGCCAATGTATCTGATAATAATTTGTCTCTTATGGTTTTAAGGCAACCTCTCTTTGTTATGATTCCTGTATCCATTAATGAGACCTGGTATGAAGAACAAGGATTGCAGGTGCTTAAGATGATTAGTAAGGCTTTAGCTAGACAAAAAAGATTTATTGAATGGGTTATTGTTGGAGTCATAGCTCTTGTCACTATTATAGCCTCAGCAACTATGGCTGCTGTGGCATTAACCCAAGAAGTAAAAGAAGCTCAGTTTGTTAATTCCCTCGCTCAGAATGTTACCCATACTTTTGTTACCCAATATGATGTAGATAAGAGACTAGAAGAGAAATTAAATGCTCTTCATAAAACAGTTGATATTATGGGAGAAGAAATTCAGAGTTTACAGATTCAATCTCATCTTTCTTGTCATGCTATGTATAAATGGATTTGTGTTACTCAAAAATCTTATAATAGAACACAATATGATTGGTCTCAGATAAAAAAGCATTTGCAGGGAATATGGAATGATTATAATACTTCTCTTGACCTTGTTCAATTACATCAAGAAATTTTAAATTTACAAAATTCCCCTTCTTTAAAATATGATGCAGCTCAAATTGCTGAAAATTTCTTAGATCATCTTAAGAATGTTTTGCCATCTTTTGATCATTGGTATAAACTGTTATGGCCCATTTTGGTAATTGGAATTGGAATTTGTGTTGGGTGTGTGGTCATTTCTGTTTTGACCAGAGTTTTCATTTCTTCCATCACTACTGTGGCTAGTCGAGTTCATGGTCTCCATCTTCATTCAAAAGATCCTCCTTATTAAACAGAGGCTGGTAGTCAAAGACGGGTAAGAGGACCATAGAGAAATATTCAACCTAAGACAGAGTATGGGAAAGAGGAATATCCCATTACTTGATGACGGGTAAGAAATTTCATCTGATGGTCCTCGCCTAAGACAGGCACAGTCTATCTGTGGAAACAGAATGAAGTTCTGTTTTCTTTTAATTAAAATAAAAAAGGAGGAAATGTGGGGAAACTGAAACTCTCACCTAACAATAGTATGCAGAAAACTAGAAGTGGTTAACAAGGAGCTAATCTATCAACTTAATGAAGCCACATTCCAGCCCAAAGTGCATGTGAATACCTTTTGACCTTAGGAATCGTAAAATATTATGGTGTCTAAACATTTTCTTGTGATGTCTTTCTGCAGATGTTTCTTGTGTATCTACACAAGATAATGTGCTAATAATGTGTGTATAAAGAACCAGGTTTGCCTCAATTAAAGCAGACAGTCTTTTGTCTCCACTCTGCCTAGAGTGTCTTTCCTTTTCAATCCTCACTCTCTCCTTCAGGTACTGTTCGACTAGTGGGGGCTGGTCCCCCACATTGTACCCAGTCATTTTATAGTGTATTCAGACAACAATGTTGGCCATTGGATATAAAAAAGGCCAGAAGCAGATCCCAATCTAAGGCCCTCTAAAAGTGGCAAGACTCCAGATCCCTCTTCCATGACCCACTTTGTTCCACTTCCCCATGACTTACTTGTTTTAGATAGACCAATTATAGATGGTTCAACAAGTAATCTCATCATCTGAAATATTTATATGAGCACACAAAGTGCCTGTTCCAGTATGCCATGCTGTGTGTGGCCTCTAAAAGAGATGTGTAAGTCATCCCTCTTTGCAATCAGAACAAAATTATACCCATACCAGAGACCCCTGCATGCACAGAGCCATATAATACTGTGAATGAGCCAGGCCTTGAAGATATTCAAGTTTAAAGAGTGGGAGACAGTGTTCCAGTTGGAGTAAGAGTTCACTGCAGACCTAACATGGGGTGGAGCCCACAGAATGATTTGCTTTCTAATGCATATTCTTTATTATTTAAAACTATGATGGCACTCTGATGAGATTTTTCTGCTATTTGTAATCAGGGCTATTTGGAAAGGAACCTTCTCAGATTTGGCCACACTCAGATCTACTCTCAAAGACTTGAGGCCATATCTCTGTCCTAACCTTCACTAACTGCTAGAAGTTTGTGTTGACCAATAGTGTGGGCCAGGAATACAATTGGAGACGTCACCCATTAACACTGCCCCAGTGGCTCTAGGATTGATGACAGCCTCTGATTCCTCATGCATCTCTGTTCCTTAGTTGTGTCAAAATTGAAGTCCTTGTTTTGCCCACTGTGTAGTTATAAACCTATGCTGATCACTTACCTGAGAAAAACTACATAGCATAATGCACACCCTTTCCCCAGATGCCTTCAAGGCCCTCTGTTTCCCATTCTGATAAACCACTCTGCAAGATTAACACTTTCATAGATCTAGATGCTACCTGCACTAGCAGAACCGTGAGCTAATTTCATAACTGATTCTTGATCACTGTCCTTTCTAAGGTATAAAGATTCTAATATCATCAAATTATCTTATGGATGATAGAAACTCTATTAGGACTCAATGTCAGGAATTTTTTTGGCTGTAGTATACACTATATAATTGGGTGCTTGATCCCAATCTAAGGCCCTCAGAAATCAGTGAGACACAGTCAAGGTATTAGGACATTAGCTAGCTCTACCATCAGAGCTACTGGATTTTTTAATGATATCTACTCAATGAGTTATCTGCAGATGGAGGCTAAAAAACACCTTTGACCAACCATCCTGATCATTTGGTTGTACAGTGCCTCTTGTGGAGTGGATGACTTTAGGTTAGCACAAAATTCTGAGGGAGGAGATGCGCAA